GTAGGTCCATTGTTCCAGCATCAAATCCTTCTAAAGTTCCAGCTGGATTACTTGGAGCCAGCTTAATTAAGGCTGCTGTGTTTCCTTCTTTCTTCTAACTGTGTTTACTTCAGCACTTACCACTGTTCCAGAGGAGCACAGCTATGTTAGCAACTGCTCCTCTGGCCACTTAAAGGTGTAGATCAGAGCTCTCTTACACAAAAATAAGTAAGATCATACAGGATTTGACTAATACAGTCTATAAACTTCTATCTGTAAGTATGTATGCATGCATCCACCCATCCATCCATCCACCCATCCTACCTACCTACCTATCTTTACATGCCTCAAAGAGAATATACTTTTTTTTCATATGTTCATGGAATATTTATAAAAATTGATCAGGTACTTGGACAAAAAGAAAACCAAAACAGATTTTTCTTTTAAATGTAGAAACATTCAGGTTACATTTACTGATTACAATCCAATAAAATTAGAAATAACTAATTTAAGGAAGATGAAATTTTTTTGTGTGTGTGTGAGGAAGATTAGCCCTGAGCTAACATCTGTTCCCAATCCTCCTCTTTTTGCTGAGGAAGACTGGCCCTGGGCTAACATCCGTGCCCATCTTCCTCCACTTTATATGGGACGCTGCCACAGCATGGCTTTGACAAGCGGTGTGTTGGTGTGCACCTGGGATCCGAACCTGCGAACCACGGGCCACCAAAGCAGAGTGTGTGCACTTAACCACTACACTACCAGGCCGGACCCGAGATGAAATTTTTTTAATGTTTGGAAATTACAAATATATTCCTAGGTACCTCTTAGATCAAAGAAGAAACCAAAATAAAATTCAAAACTGCCTAGAAGGCAATGAAAGAACACTTAACACCAAAATCTCTGAGATAAAGCTGCATTCAGAGGAAAATGTAGAACCTAAAATGTCATCATTATTCAAGAAGGTGAAAAAAAACAAGCTAAAATTAACTACTTCTCTTAGAAAAGAACAGTAAAATAAATCAAAACAAGCCAGCAGTGGGAATCAAATATTAAAGATGCAATCAATAGAATAAAAACCAAGTAGCAAAGAGAAACAAACGCCAAACTGGTTCTTTGAAAAGACCACTAACTTACTTAAAAATTTAGTTATTAAAAAAACAGAGTAAAAATATGCAAGATTAGGAATGAGAAAGGAGAAATAACCAGATACAGAAAGTATTAAAATAATCTTAAGAGAATACACGCAACTGTATGGTAACAAATTAAAAAACCTATGAGAACTGGATGATTTTTAAAAACCAAACATGCTTCCAAAATTGACCTATGAAGAAATGGGAAACTTGAAAACTCCTATTAGCAGAGGACACAGTGGGTTGATGATTAAAGGGAAACATTGAAAAAGATTCTAGAAACTGATGGGTTTGCAGCCTACTTTCATCTAACTTTAAAAAACTAGAACAGGAAATTCTAACGTAATCTAAGCATTGCAACCCATAGAAAATGGTGGAAATCTCCCCAATTCGTTTTATGAAGGCAGCATAATTTTAATTCTAAGATCTGCTGAAGATACTAAGAAAAAAGAAAATTATAGACCCTCTCACTTTAAAGACGCAAAGACTCAAAATATTAGCAAATAGAACCAGGAAATGTATCAAAAGAATAACAAATTAACACATTATGACTAAATGGGGCTTATTCCAGGGACTAAGGGTGGTACAGTATCAGGAAATCTATCAACATAATGTATTACTTAAAAAAAAACTAACGGAGAAAAAACAATATGGTCATAATAATAGATGCCGAAAGGGCATTTGCTATGTAGTTCAGCAGCCATTCCTAACTTAAATTCCTACAAATGAAAAGATGGTCAGATTCACTGCTAAGGAAATGGAAATGGAAATAAACTATGAATGAGATCCCACTTTTTACCCATCAGACTGGTAAACATTTCTGGTGGCGGCTCAAGGAAAAGGCACTCAGAGATGGCTGCAGCCCTCCCACACCCCACCAGCATTTCCGGAAAGCGATCTTGCAGATTCCCTCTGACGCAATCGGCTCCTGGGAATCTACTGCACAGAAATAAAGTTAGTGCAGAAGCACATAAATAGGAGGATGTTTATGCAGCCGAGTTCGTGGCGGGCAGGGTGGGGTGGATTGAACACGAAGTGAATGCCCGGCAATACAGGAAGAGGTGAGTCAATTACAGAATATTTACACCACCAATTATCATGCAGCATTTAAGAGAACAGTTGTACCAACCTGAAGGCAACACTAAGATGCAAAAAAGTATATATGATTCCAACTTTATAAAAACAAATGTTAGGAAAGTATAGATGAATATGTGTTATCTATGTATATATAATACATGTACATAATCACATGGTGCATAATGAGAATATGAGCAATACACGAGGTTATTAGTTTGAGGTGGAGTAAACGGGTGATATGGGGGGGAGAAGAAAGGGGAAAATACTGCAATAATTGCCCTCGTGTGATATAACATATAAGTGAAATTATATTTTTGTTTTGCATTTGCATAAAAAATTTAAAAACTAATTTTTGAAAGTTTCAAAAAGATTATTCCACAGCAAGCTCTTTTCTTTTTTCTTTGGTGTCTATGATTGCTGGAACCATCTCCCAGCCGGAGGAACGCAACTTGGATCAGCAATTGCTCCTCAGGCCCTGGTCTTCATAGTGAATTGGTACCTGCACGGTGGCACGCTGAGCTTGGAGAAAGACAGTAGCTGTCACACGCACACCCTTTCCATGCCGCCTGTTTCTCCGTGCCCTGGAATGCTTGGACAGCATGTCTTCAAACACCGCCCTGTGGCCCTGGGAGCCCCCGGAATATCCTAGTTGTGCCATCTCTCATTTGGGGTGTTAGCCACAGCCCCCACGGTCTCTCCCACTTAAAGGGCATATTCTCTAGATGCTGTGCTTTGGTTTGGAAACTGTAGCCCCTCCCTTCTCTAAGCTCTTGGATTTCTGTCTGACATTTGATTCTGACTGGCTCTTGTTGAGTTCAAGGGGGCAGTGGTAGATGGGGTGTTTGAATAGGCGAGGGGGAAGATTCCTGGATTAAATCCAACTCTTTGCCTCTTCCATGCTGAACCGTGCAGCTGAATGCAGCTGGAGAAAACACACAACGAGGCTGCCTGGTCTCACTTTAAATTCATCAGCCTGAAACGGGCCCTTCGTGTTGCCCAGCACATACTGTACCTCACCAGTCTGCTCCCCTTCTCACTGTTCTAAACACCTGTTCCACGTCTTCTCCCCGGTCTCCAAATCTCCACTGCCTCCTGCCCCATCCTCACTCTCCGCTGATCTCCCCGAGGACACGGAAGCAATCAAATGAAAATCTCCTGAAATTTCCGCCACATCCACCCATCTCCCTGGCCAACTAGCCTTCCTTCTCTCCTCTCACTGCCCTCCTTCATTATCGCCCCTTCTCTCCCAAAGTACCGATGTCTCTCTCCTCCCTTTTATGGCCAGATTACTCCAGAGTTGTCAATAGTCGTCTCCAGTTTCTCTCCTTCCATTTTTCTCTTGAATCTACTGCAACCCAGCTTTTGCCCTCACCACTCCACTAAAACTGCTTAGAAAGGTCTCCAGTGACCTCGATGTTGTCAATCCAGTGGTGCTGGTCCTCATCCTATTATCAGCAGCATCTGATAGTTCATCTCCCTCCTCTCTGAAACCTTTCTGGACTTGGCTTCCAAGACCCACACCCTCCTGGCTTCACGCCGACATCTCTGGATGGTCCTGCTGTCTCCTCTGCTCTTCCTCTCCGTCTGCCTAAACTCTAAATGTAGGGGAGCCCAAGGGCTCAGATCTGGGGCCTCTTCTCTTTGCTACCCCCACTCACTCCTTTGGGGATTTCATCCAGGCCCACTTGTCATTTGTGTGCCAACAAACTCCCAATCGGCGCCTTTGGCCTTGACCTCCCTCTTGAACTCCAGATTCGTATGGCCGACAGCCTTATTGACACCTCCAGAGCATATCAAGTAGGCACCTTGAACTTAACATGTCCAAAGTGCATGCCAAACCTGCTCCTCCTGAAGTCTCCCCTTCTCAGTCAAGGACAACCTCCCTCCTGCCAGGGCCTAGACCAGGAACCTCAGGGGTGGGATGAGGAGCAGCCAGCATAAAGCCGGGCTCTGCGGCAGGGAAGTGCCGCTTACTCTTGGGAAGTGAAGTAACGCTCAAGGTGCAGGGTCTGCCCTAGTACCGTGCTTCTCTGGACTGAGGGGAAAGGCCGCATGCTATTGAGAACGTTGTAGTATGTTTTGCATTTGTCATTGGCAATGGTTCTAGCATCTATGGAACACCAAGAAACCATAAGAAAACAACATATCTGGGAAGTCAACAAAGCATTTTATTCCACAGGAAGAAAAATAACGACTCTGATACGGGAAACAGATGAAAGAGTCTTAACAGATTGGTGATTGTATGTAATAACGTTTACACAGTGGAGAACCAAATACTTTGTTTTCAGAAGTTTATCAAGCAGCTACTGTGGTATTTTGAGGCACAGATGATGCTTAAGAACAAAGCGGCCCTGGAGCCTTTGGAGCATTGAGGTGAGTCCCCACCAAGCAGCCAGACACCCCGGGGCTGGTAAGGGCTGCTTTCCTGTTTTCTGTTCATGGTGGCCAGGCCGGGGTGTGGGGACACTGACCTCTGGCTAGCCTTTCCAGTGGGCAAAGAAAAGCAGCTATGGCCAAGCAGCGCTGTGGGCTGGCCAACTGTGCTGGGTCAGGGAATTTGGACAGCTTCTGATTTCTCCTTATCCAATTTCTCCTTATGCGATTTATTTTACTTTCCTCAGAGAGGAACGGAGTATGAGGCAGCATGAAAATCGGTAGAAATTATCATAACAAAGTCTCAGACATCACTGGCTAAATAGCAATTTAAAAAGAAACGGGCATTCAAGGAGCAGGGCCTGCTGCCTCCAGCACTTTGGGCTTTCTTCCTGGCAAACCAGGTAACTCTGTCCAGAGCCCCTGAAGCCGCCTCGCCACGCCTAGCAGGAGGGCTGCGAGGCAGGGGAGAGCTTGCGAGGCTCTCAGCTGCTGCCCCCCTTCCAGCCCCACCCCATTTGGTCTTTGGATCCCATTTTAACACCTGCCTCTTCTAAGGCGCAAATGTCAGAGGGGGGGTTGTGCAGAGGAGATGGGCAGCTATTTCAGGAGCTGATTAAAATTAGAAAGGAGCCTGGAGGAAGGCATCTGAACACCTCTCTGGAGTCCTCCTGGAAGCACCATTCCACAGCGCAGCCCTCAACCAGCTTTCTGCAGTCAGAGCAGGGAACACCCAGTTGCTGCTGGGGCCGAAGGCAGACTTCTTTAATAATACTAAGCTCCTTAATCCAGTACAGAAACTGCAAGTGACTTCATTCCAGAAAGTGACAGAAAACTCACTGACACCAACAATCAACCTTTCTGAGAGTCTCACCTTTAAGAGATCATGATCTCAGGCAGTGCAGAAGCCGAACTTGTGGGGTTCGGAGAGGGAGGCTGGTGAGGATCTTGTGTATGGGCGCTGATACAATCATGACTGCCACCCAGCAGAAACAAACAAACAAACCAACAAACCAAGAACCCACTCCAACCCTTCAAAAGCCAAGTTTCAATTTTGCAATCCACGAACTTAGAGTTCAGTGAAGACCATACAAACCTCAGAGTTCAAGACAATCCTTGAAGACACTATTCAGCTAAAGCACTTGAGCATTTGTGCTAAAGCTCCCTTCCTGCTGCTTTGTACGCACACACGTGCGTGCGCGCGCACACACACACACCGTTGGGGGAGAAGGAGATGGAGAGAGACAGAGAAAGATCAGCTTCATTTGGAAGGATTTGGGTCATGAGTTACAGACACCAAAACCTTCTACACATCCACTGACCCACTGAGTCATTTTAGATCTCAGCTACATATGACAAGTTTGTAGAAATTGATTAGCTTTATTAAAATTTTGAAATCACAAGGCTAGTCATTCATTCTAGAGAGAGGCCCTCCCCTCTCCCCCCAACATTGTATTCCTTACAGAAAAGGGAACAACAAAAACAAGACCCAGGATGGAGGGCACTCATGCCAGGCCTTGCTAATGGAATTTAAAACCAAGGACAAGAGATGTTTTGGCCAAGTCTTGGTTCCATGAAAAACTTACAAAAAACAGCTTTTTAATACTCAAATTTCATTCCCTTTTCTGAGACTCTCTCACTCTCCCTTCTCCTCCTGGTGTTACCATCACTGTGTTGTCCCCAGGGCTGTGGAGCTGGGTGCCTGCCTGTGGCTTTACTAAAAAGAAAAGAGTCCCAGGATCTTCTTTGCTGTTGCCCAGGAAGGAGAGTGTTCTTATTGTGGATTTTTGATTTGTTAAAACAAATTGTTCTATGGGATTTTTTCCTTATAAATCAGCAGAGCCTACCAATGTTTCAAACTGACCCTCTCTGATAATAACCCAAGAAAAACTTACAACGCTGGTGTGTGTGGAAAACAATTCTACCTCAAAGTTTGGCAAGACTAGTCAAGAGAAAGCCAAATACATAAGACAGATAAAAAATAATTTGTGATTATCTAAGAACTATCTTTAAAATGGGGGCGAGAAATAAATAAAAGGTGGGTTTCTGAGCCCCTCTCCCATGTCTCTCCTTAAGGGCAGCTCTGGTTCTGAGCACTTCAGCTCGCAGCTCCAGACGGGACCACGGGGTCCAAGGGCGTCCCTCTTGAGCACCTTCCACCTCACCTCAGTCCACCTGACTGTGACGACTCTAGTTTCCAAAACCAAGACATAACATTCTTCAACTTTCAAGAACACCTTTTTATAAAGAGTACCCTGAATTAGACGTGTAGAATTAGTGCAAAAGAAGATCCCATATGATTTTATATTACTTTACAGTTAACAAACCTTTACACACATCAGAGGCCCTGTTCAGAAACACTCCTATATATTTACAAACACACAGTTGTACATATATACATGTTAACAAAATACGGGGAAATCTAAAAATTAGATTCATCTCAGTACACTTTTTTTTTTACGTTATTCCACAAAGACCTTTCAAAAATTACTTCCCCATAATCTAAAGTAACCCCCGCCCCACAAATTAATACAGTTTCCACTTGTATCCCCCTCATCTGTATTTACTTTCCCTTGTCCCTTGATGTCGTCCCCCAAACCTTATTCTGGTTTGCCTCTAACTGGAGCCAAGCCTGTGGGCCTCCTTCCTCCTGCCTGGCTGGGCTGTGTCTGGGGCGTCTCTCCAGCAGCTGGGATTTTTCAGGAGTCCAGCTCCAACTGCTCTTGATTTTCATTGAGTCTTAACATAAGTTGCTGTTCATAGTAAAGGCTCTTTGCATAGTTTATTTCTTGTGATAACTTGACAGCGAGGACCTCTGATTTCACATGGACCTGAAGAGCAGAACAGAGTGAGTAACCTGCCACCGGGGTGGGGAACCAAGCGGAATCATAGCACATGGGCGACTTAAACTCATGCAGGCAGCAGCTCCCAGCCTGGCTACAGATCAGACCGGCCTGGGTGGACTTTTAAGAAACAGATGCCCAGGGCCCTACTCCTAGTTAATGCTGATTCAAGGTCTGGGGGGTACTCCTGGAATCTGTATCTTTAACATATTCCCCAGGTGACTGTAGCCCACCCACAGTCACCGGACATTTGGGACTCCTGCAACTGAGAACCAGTTTCAGCTGGAGGAGGCGAAGATCTGTGAGGCCACACTAAGCAAGGATAAAGGACTGCACCTTTGGGGGTCACATCTCAAGTCTGGCGATGGTCAAAGAGGAGGAAGAATTAGCAAACAGATTGTGGGAATACTCACACTTTGGGGTGTTAACTCCATTCTACCAGCCCTAATGTAAGCCCCTGACCCCGGGGAGCCTACACAAGCCAAGCCAAACCCAAGTGCATTCCTGAGCAGGGGGAAGGTTGAGGGAGAGAAGCCAGTCAGGCTGGTTGCTATTTCTGATCTGCAGAAAGACCCAGAGATAAGCAGGGCCACTTTGGATGACACATCATTCTTGAATGCGGGCTTGAGAATCCTAGCATACCAGGTGGGAAATGAGCAGGACTAACACCTGGGCTTCATGAAAAGCCACCAAGCCAGATTGTGGCGAGACGGTGAGTCTCCCCACATGCACTTCTGCTGAGCCAGAGGCCCTCTGAGTGGAGGGAGGCAGCAGAGCAAAGGGGTCTAGACTGCCAGCTCTGGAGTGGCACCACTTGGGTTGGAAGCCCAGCTCCTTCCGGTGTTGGCTGTATAACCTTGAGCAAGTCACCTGCCCTCACCAAGCCTCCTTACCAGTCGAGGGGGGACAATGACAGCACAACATCAAATAACACACAAGAAGTACTTAGTGTCCAGCCTGGCACACAGTAAGCCCTTAATGAATGTTGGGTATTAATAGGAATGCTAAAAGTCCTGCCATGACAATACCTTGTACTCTCTGGAGGCACAGCTTAAATTTTATTTACAAATATTTATTGAGCATTTACCCTGGGTAGGGCCTATCCTATGTATTGCTTCTTTGTGCAGAAAAAAAGTTAGTTTCCACTGTTACATAGGAGAAACAATAGAGAAGCCAGTGTGTGCTCTAACACACTCTTAGATTCAGGGCCTCAAAGAGTCACATTTTAGGAATAAAATTCCCCAAGGATCCTGTTAGTTGGTCCTCACAACTAACTAGAATAGGTATTACTACCCGCATTATATTGGCAGGTAACTGAGGCACTCGTGTTGAGTAACTGGCGCAGGGTCATTAGTGGTAGAGCCGGGAGGGCAGCATCACCCCATTAACCCACACTGAGCTCCTTCTGTACGCAGGACCAGGAAGCAGTACCCCTGGGGATTAATCACAGCTCAGCCTAAACCCACTGAACCCCTGGTGAACGCGTCAGCGGGGCAGAGGCGCTCCGAGGGCCTCCATCTCGGGGCTGAGAAGACAGGCAGGTGTGCACTCACCATGGGTTTCTGGTGGGAAGGGCCGGGGATGGACACTCCACTACTCGTGTTCACTGCCTTCTTGGTCACCTGCACATACACCTTCCCGTGGTCTTTGGAGACGAGGCAGTGGTAGAGATCGTCGTATTTGACTTCCAGGAAAATGGCCTCTCGATCCACGTAGTCTCCACTTTTCAGGAAGTAAACCGCTTTGGAGGAGATGAGCACACAGTAGCTATCGATGTTCTCCACGGCAATGAAGCTACGAAGGAAGGGGAAAGTAAGAACGGCACACGGAGCATCGCCTCAACACACAGTGGCCAGGCTACTCCTGTCACCGAGCCAGCAGAAAGGAGTGTGGGCCCCGGTCTCCAAAAGCCTTGAATCCAGGCTCCCTCACTCACTGCACCTTGGGCAGGTGGCTAGATCGCTCTGAGTCTGTTTCCTCATTTGTAAATTAGGAATAAAAGTGACACCAGCCTCCCGGGGCTGTAAAGCACAGAGCCCCCGACATGGGGTGCTCAATAAACGTTAGCTCATGATGACGACCAACACTATCAACCACAGAAACAATTTATATCCTGACATCGTATTGTGTGGGGTATTTTTTTCAGTGAGAGTCTTTATGTAGTTTAAGGCTTAGAGAAAACCATAACAATGCTTTGTTGGACAAAACAGGAAGAAAACATAACGCTCTTAAACGCTGACTGAAGCAGCAGCTGAGAAAGTTCACTGCTAAGGCAGAGGGGAGGTCAACACCGGGGCTGGGGACACACGTGGGGGAGGAAGATGGAAGGGAGAGCGCGGAAGGGAGTAGGTTACCAGATTGGACGAGAAGATGGAATGAGGTTGCAGCATTTGCTCCTCTACGCCTACTTCCTTTCTATCACAGATCTAATAAGAGGTTGCCCAGTGTCTGCTCAACACCGCCAGTGACAGGGAACTCACGAGACCACCACTCCATTTTCAGGAGCTCTAATAGAAAGTGCTTTCTTAGTTACCTAAGCTGTTATCTTGATTTTCACAACTTACAGTCATTACTTCTAAGTGCTTTAGGGCCACTCAGAAAAAAATCTCTTTCTTCTTCCTCCATGGAGCTCACAGATTTAAAGTGGAAATTTATGCACATCAACCTCTCAGCTCAGCTACTGA